GTCAAATCACCGGTGGTGTCAAATATAACTAGGACATTTGCCATGTAATATAGTATACCTGCCGGCCGGCTATTGTTTCACTTGGACGTTGTATCTGTGAGATCGAGAGACGAGGTCGGATCAAATGGCTGGGTAAGCATGACAAGATCTACCCACCGGGTTTTATTGCACGTTTTAGCAAATTAATGTTGCTAATTAGTAAATGTTTCTGATATTCCCAGTTGCCAAAAATCGTCCTTGAAATTTGAAGGTGAATCATGTCTGGCATGATTATATATTACGCAACCATGTCGTTTTGTGAAATATGCGTAGGAGCAATACACACCAATGATTGTTCCGTTGCAGGTTCCATCCCTGGGGGAACAGACCCAAAACACCCAGGGCCGTAGTTAACTTTTCTTAATTAGGAGGGCACTGTCAACATTGAAAGAGTGTTAGATCAATACTTTGATGTACAAAAAATTATCTGGGCTGCCTACGAACTGCCGTCTTTCCAAATGGACGCATGACAGAACAAATATGTTCTTCGTATTTGAAAGTTAAATACACTCTTAAACGATTTCTTTTTGAAATTCCTTTTTTGGTACTATCACATGTTTCATGTTAATTCGGAAATTATCTCACGGAGCACTCAGTGCGATGTCTGGGTAGAATCAAACTTCATGATTATAGTTTGTGATGGTGAGACATCCTAATATTGCGTATTTTGTTTTACCGTTTATATGCACCCTGCTATTTTCTTAATTCTCAATTCTCTTGTTTATTTAACACAAGAAAGCTATTGAAAAAAAGATAATAATGCATAAACAGTGGTTGTAAATGTGAATTTAAATATCTGAGTACTATCTTTGTATGAGTCTCCTTTACATGTTATTTCAATGTTACGCTCAGTATATTACTCAGTTGTTGCGAAGAAAAATATAATATCATATTATAGTCGGTGGTGTCTGTATTTTGAAATGCTGCTTGCCATCTGCAATCCGTATTCCACGTTTGCCTATTATGAGGGACTTCTAAAGCTAAGCTATGTATAAGACAGATATACATTACGAAACAATATATACGACCATGCATTAACTGTTACCGTACAATGAACCAACCGCCGTTATATCCACCATTGTCTTAAGTTGATGATGTTGTACATGGTTTCACTTTCTTCAGGAAATATTGCTATAGGACAAAGTGCCACACAGAGCAGTACATTCACCGAAAAGTGTGACAGGATAGGGAATACTTATTACAGGTTCGAGGCCAGGTACGGCGTAGATGGCAGAGCTACCACCAACGTCTATAGCACACCATTCACATGTACACATACAAACACAGGGGATCAACACCCAGCTTGGACTGTTCAACTGAAGAACTCTAACACAGACAAGATACAACACGTCAAGCTGTATCTACGTGATGGGCGGAGAATATATATCTTATTTTTGTTTTCATTTATAACTGGTATTGTGCTCAATTACCCATTATTCTCTTTGACTAAATCATCATTAAAACATCATGTATTGTTGATGTATTCTTTGTAATGCTTGATAACATGTACGTGCGGATGTGTTGTCATCATGGCTACTTTTGGGTTTTCAGTCAACACTTGTCTGCCCTTTTGGACTTGTGTATGTGCATACTAATACTTACTATACCTTTTCAGATGTCGCCAATGTATCTACTGCCTTATCAAATGAGATATATGACATCAGAGAATGCACATTTTCACTTTGAATTGGTGTCATGGACAGAAACAAGGGCATGGAGATATATGATGGTGGTCAGCTTTGCTTGGACTGGTCAACGGACACATACCCGCCTGCTATAGCTGATGTCAAATGTCAACAAGCACTGACAGGAAACAACCTCACCATACAGAAAAGCAATTATGCCGCGTTGTGCAAGGTGCAGATATTTGGGAGGTTAACATACGTCTGTGAACATGTGACCATGTGAGCACAACAGAAACTAAGTTATTTGACAAGACGACGACTGCACAGTGTAAGGTGCAAGTCTCAAGTTCACTGTGGCAATTGTTTTGACGATTTGCTGGGTGAAGTGATGAAAAAGCAATAATTAAATAGCTCGATCATCATAAGGCTGCAACATTCATGGATTCTTTCCTGAAGCTGGGCAAATGTATTGGTCTAAATGACATTAGAGATAACAACGCTCGTAATGAAACTGTGATAGATAGATAGATAGATAGATAGAGATAGATAGATAGACAGACAGACAGACAGACAGATAGATAGTGGTACGGTTAATAATTTGCAGTCACAAAAGGTTTAAAAGTCGCCTTTGAACCACCAAAATAGAACAGAGACAAGTCTAAAATATTCAATAATATATTGAACAAACAATGAGCAAACTACAATGAATGACTATACAGATTTCTGGTACAATGCCATTGGGTCACAAATCTAAAATATTGGGTCACAAATATAAGATATCAACTCACCAGAGTCTTGACATTTACAGTGAGAACAGATATACTGATTGAAGGTCGTCAGTCTTGAAATGTTGAGAAACTCGACGATGGCAGACAGCTGTGTATAAATCCAATCATGTGAAAATCCCCGTGTCCCACTACTCAACAACCAGCCTTTATATAGCTCTTACACAGTTCTTGAGCATTCAAGCAAAGCTAGGCTCCCTCATTATTCTCTCACAAGGATGCAGGATTTTCTCGAACACACGACATGATGAAAGCCGGAAGTCAAAACTAAAGATTGCCAAGGGCAGGTAATTCTGCAACGCTATCTCAAAAAAGGGCGTGCCAATACTATTGCCATTGAACATATATGATGCGAGATGTGACCCACAACACACACTCAAAACTTAAAACATTGTGACCCATAATAACTATCACTTAATCAATGATATTACAAATTACAAATAACACACTCTCATAACAGTGTATTTAGGGGTGGGTGAAAGTAAAATACTATGTCAATCTCTTCCATAATAAACTACCAGTCCCCTAAATAACTAGACTTACAAACTCATTATTTAGAAAAATATAAGTTTGAGGAGGCAGGTATATGACAAATCGTATACTGTGTGGTTCACTTGATAATCTCAATCCCATCAGAATATCGCAGCATGTGTATTGGGCCATAACCATGATCTCAAGTTCAAAATAACTATGTGTTATGTTCTAAAGAGCACACATACCTCATTGTCACCTCAAAGTTAACATAAACCTATGTACAAGGTATCCCGCAAACCAGGATGTAATATCAGTTGAACGAACTGTTAAAACATTCCTATGTCACCTGGTGTGGAACACCGGTAGTTTCCTCCCTACAATTTTCTTCCTGGTTGTGTGTCGATATATTTTTCCAATGTAGACACGGGTGAGTATCCATGAGGTTTTACATTACATTTGCAATTTAATCTTGATGCCAGTAGTATCCGTGTCATCATAATTATGGGGGATAGATACCGTTATTTCCCCAGGATGATATCCCACGACAGTGGTACAGTCGCTCAGCTTAATCTTTAGGTTTCCAACATACCCGCGTGAGTATCCATGAGGTTTTTCATGCGTATCATAAATTTGTAATTAAATCTTGATGCCATTGCCATCCGTTTCATCATAATTATGTTTCATATGTTATTTCCGACATAAGATGTATTCAGACATCGCTGTTATCACTCAGCTTAAGCTATTACATTTTATGTAGCGCCCGACGTTTGGGTTACTGTAGTATGTTAAGAGAGCGGCTGTGACAAATTGATCCGAATGTATTTTAGGGTGCATTTCACGGCAAGTCGTGTTGATATGGAGACTCAGGTATTTGTGGATACCTGTTTCGTTCATGTTACTTGATATATGTCTCCTACTTTCTCGTAATATACATGGGCACACCTGTATACCTTAAGTAGATCATTGCTTCGAACGTATGAAAATAGTTGTGTTAGTGAAGATAGTGTCTCCCATCCATTGCTCTTAACAGACTCACCGGAGTGGAGAAATCACTGATGTGTAACAATCAGTGTACTGCTCGCAAACATCAACAATAACAGCCTCTATGTAACGTCGAGCAACATAATGGATATGACCGTGTGTCCCTTTTGGCTGTACATTGTTTCTGATTACTTGTAAGCCAGGCGATAGTTACACAATTAGTGCATATTCCACGACAGATATATGTATGGCGAGTGTCAGTGTCGTGGTCGTTGTATGTGTTTCATTCATTACTCACATCGTCACCTGTTCAAGTCATCATTTGTTAAACACTGCAACTACCAGGACGCTATATACATGATCAGTTCGACCCATATAGTTAATTAGTAGAAAGACTTTAATACCGAATATATCTAATGCTAACTGTTATCTGAACTATGATTGGTACAGGGCGACTGTAGGAAAGATGCAAAAATGTGTTTCTTTTTGGGGGATGCAAATATAACCCGTCTCCATTACCAAGAGAAAATTGCAAAGATGAAAGTGAAACTGTTCAATGTTATGTTTACTCATACATTTTGTTTAATACAGAGGCGTCCATAACAAACACAACGACAGCAACGATGCAATTGAAACTGTTCAGATGTTATGTTTACTTTGTTTAGTATTCATGTCCAGGTAGTCAAACAGCAACTGTTCTGCTCGTTTATGTATACAATCAATTGTCAAGTGAGCAGCGATGTATCATAGAACACCTGCAGGCACGGTGATATTTTGTTGTGACCTTGTTTCGGTGAGAACGAGAAACAAGGCCGGGTGACATGGCTGGGTGAACATGACAAGATCAGCACACAGGGTTTTATCGCAATTGCACATTCAGCAACCCAATTTTACTCATATGCGACTACATATACGATTGTTTGATTCCTCTTATTGATGAATACGCGTCTTTCAATTGTGGACGTGCCGAATAGTAACTGTTTATGAGATTATAAAACAAGTCTACCCAGAAACTTGAAAGAGAAGCATGTCCTGAATGACACACCATTGTATGAAATGTGACTGTTTCGTTGCAGCTTTCACGCCTGTAGGAACAAACCCAAGACTCAATGGCGTGGTTTTTGACCGGGTTGTTGTTTTTCTCCATCACTGGGACTCTCACCGGTAGGAAGTTTAATAGGTGTTATTGGTGTGCTAACAGTTGTGAAAATTGGTACTATGTTCCATACGATATCCTGGATAAAGTTCTGGCATTTAATATCATGCATGGTTAGGTTGGACATAATATCAAGTAAGATTGGCCAAAAAGCCAGCAGCGGAACGATAAACATTTCGAGGTATTGAGAGTACGCTTGATGCTTTATTGTCTTGGTATTTCATCTGTATACGTAGATATCCCGGCATTGTTAAGAACAAGACATTTTCATTATGTATTCAGGTGCTGAGTGTCACTGTAACACCACTACTGCCTGTGCCGTGTTCCCCTCCACTCCCTGTAGCCAGGTCGGCGATCCAGGCAGATGTCAGGAAGGATGGTTCGGTTCCTACTGCCAGATACGTGAGTAATTGACACGTGCACCCGGTTTAACGACGTGCAAGATGATCGAACTCATTAAGGTTGAATTAAGCAATTTCAATCACAGCAGCAATCAATCTCCTCGGTGTAGCAGTAGTATTTCCCAAAGTAGTTTCCTAAAGTATTTCCCAAAGTAAGATCATTTGTGTTGCCTTTAGATTTACGAACACATCAAATAATGACAAGCTTGGCAATGCATCATATAGTACACATTTAAATGCCTGTGGACGGTAAACCGGTTGGCCAAGTACCACAGTTTTTTAATGAAAATTACCAATTCGGAATTACAAAAGTTTCTCCGAACATTATTTGGAATTAATCAAAACTAGGCATTTGACTGCAAGCAACAAAAGATAGACCCTTTTCTGGGGATCAAGGGCACCTACGGTACTTCTGCTTCCTACATATTTTGCCAGCAAGATGTATCTCGACGTAAGCATAAAATAATGAAACATACCTTAAATAATATAACGTCTCATAGAAATGCTGGTATTGAAGGTCCTATGTAAAATCGAATATGAAAGCACATTTTGAGCAAATTGACAAGACATGGATTTCACATTCAATTATTTGCTACAACCCAGTCCATGAAGACATGACCAGTCAAGTACGTGTTATATATTTGAATGTTAAACCATACGATTTTTAAACTTGATGATCTGTAATAGATTGCGTTCAGGAGACTGTATACCATGTATATCTTTGCTAAATATTACTCTGAGTGATCTCTTCCAGTTTTTTAAAGACTTTATTTAATGTTTCGTACAGTATATCAGCACAAGAATGTGTGACTTCCACAAGCGTTTTGAGCATGCTTGCTGGATGGACTATAGCGCTATACAAATACCCATTTGTATATATATCGTTAATCTGGTGTTACTGTTCACAAAGACCCGGTTATTTCCCCAGTTCCCTGGTATATTTAACGCTTTGGAGAAGCAAACCTGAATTTAAAGCGATTATCATGTGTGTAATAATACCCCAAATAGCAGGAGATACACATGCATTGAGCGATGACGTTCGTATGAGTATGTACGTTCCATATCATATCAATTGTTGCAAAGAAAAATGTCATGTCATATCATATCCAGTGGTGTCTATTTTCTATTTTGAAATGTCATCTGTAATCCTTATTCCATGTTTGTTAATTATGGGGGATTTCTAACGCGTTGATAAGTCAAATACATATTACGAAATAATGTACACTTCTATGCATTAACTGTTTTTGTACAATTAGCCTAATGCCGGTATTTCCTCTATTGTCGTATAGGATGTTGCACAATGTTTCACTTTCTTCAGGAAATATTGCCTTAAGACGAAGTGCCACACAGAGCAGTACGTTCACTGAAAACAGTGACAGAACAGGGAATACGGGTCACAGTTTCGGAGCCTGGTACGCCGTGGATGGCAGATCTACCACCGACTTCTATAGTACACCACTGACATGTACACATACATCAGCGGGAGTCCAAACATGGACTGTGTACCTGAACAACTCAAACACAGACAAGATACAACACGTCAAGCTGTATCTTCGTCAGGACTGTGAGTATGGGTATCACAATACAAATTCGTCCTGTTTTCAACAAGAAATATATCATGTTTAACTGCACATAAAAACCTAAACCAAATAATAACTCAGTGAGTTTGTTATGAAATTGTATTTGAACATGCAATTTATTACCGTGCCTTTGTCACATGGCGCTTATCGATCTGGTATTCAGAGGTAATTTTTTTCGCTTTCAAATGCAGACCAAGACAGAAACAATGGTATGAAGATATATGTTGGTGAGCAGCTGTGCTTCCAGTGGTCAACGGACACCCACCCGTCTGCTGTAGCTGATGTCAAATGTCAACAAGCACTGACAGGAAACCTCACTATACAGACAAGCACTTTTCTCACGCTTTGTGAGGTGCAGATATTTGGTAGGTTAACATACACCTAAAACGTATGAACAACAGATTGTGAACTTAACATTCATATGAAGAGGATTTTACTTATATCAGAAGATGATTGCTAGAAGAGGGAATGCATAGAAAAATACTCGCTATTTTTCTTACGTGAAGCAAAAATTATTTTGAATATGTTAATATCAGTGTTGAAAATATAGAGATGACAAGACTTTATGGGTGATCAAATTTTTAATTTAACAATGGCGACGTTACTTCGGTATAGATTCTTACACCGTTTCCAAGCATATGGGGGAATGAAGGGATACACCAGTTTATATACAAGATAAGATAAAGAGATAACAATAACAAGGGTGGGAAACAAAGCATCAAAGAAAGTTACATGATTAGCTACAATAGCATGATGATGAGCTAAGATAACATAAATGAGATGAGTGGGATAACCATGACAATTAGTGACTCTGAGTTAATTAGGCAGAAGCCAAGGTGATGGGGGATTCATTAGTGGAAAGCCAGTAGTGAGGAATGTCAGTTAGGCAGGTGATGAGAAGCCAGGGTGAGTTGAGTGGATAATTATTTGTGGATTAGGTGGTTGTAAGCTGATCGGATGTAATAGCCCTGATCCCAGTTAATAGAGGGGTTAAAACGGCGTATTTGTAATGCCTCGGCCAATTTCCGCTGAGTGTAATCATGTTTGTTGTTTGTAAGTGTTTTGACAGTGTCCCAGTTGATGTTGTGTTGAGGAACTTTGGTGATGTGTTCAGAAATGGCTGATTTGGTGTCTGCTTTGTTTGTGGATGTCTTATGTTCTTTGATGCGTATGTTGAGTGGTCTGGATGTTTCACCAATGTAGTTGCTGCCACAGTCGCAGCTGATGTTGTAGACCACACCTTTAGGCTGTTGTTTGTTTTGAAGTGTGTTTCCTACCGTTAGCCTTAATGATAGTTTTTAGAGGTGTGGCTGTGGAAATGTAAGTGTCTATGCCTGTATGCTGTTTAAGTAAGCGACTGATGTGAAGTTTTGCCGATATAGGGTAGTGAGATGCGAATGGGTGGGGAGGCGGGCTTGCTAGCGGTAGGTTTAGGTGCTGGGTTGAGGGTGGAGTTGATGACACGGTCAACAAGTTTAGTGGGATAGTTGTTAAGTTGGGTAAAGACATGCCTGAGGTGTTTAAGTTCAGGTTCACGGGCGACAGAGGATAGGTTGAGTGCTAGGCGGGTGAGAGTGGAGAAGGGCAGTGAGGTAGTTATTTTGAGGGAGGATGACAAAGGTGTCATCAGCCTTCCTGAACCAGCAGGTTGGTTTGATTAGTGAAGTGCTGAGAGCATGCTGTTCAAAGGATGTCATGTAGATTTCAGAGAGGATGGAAGAGAGATGGGAGTCCATGGGTAAACCATGGATTTGCTCATAGAGGTCATCACCCCAGGAAAAGTAGGTTGAGTTGATGGAGTTAGAAATGAGCTGAATGATGGAGTCAGTGGAGAGGTTAGTGTCAAGGGGGGTATCAAGGCTGTGAATGCGGTGGCGGAGGATGTGCAGGGTTTCATTAATGGGGACACATTTCCACGGCCACACCACCATAGCTCTGTTCATGAGACTTTGCTTTTGTTTTCTTGACTCAAGGGGTTTATGCAAGAAAGCATGAGCGCATTACAACATCCACCTTTCATTAACCTTTCCTGGCCTGTGACGTTATGAATATATTAGCATATTCATGCCTTCTCGTGCATACATTATCGGATCAACTGGAGCAACCCAAAGTTGTTTCTGCTCCCACCCTATATACTACTTACACTTGTTATACGGAAGGAGACATTCGTTGATTCAGGGATCATTTTTGCAAAAATGTGACATGGAAGTTATCAGAAATGTTCCGAGTAATTTGTAACAAAGGCAATTGTCAGAAATGTGGAGAAGTACCGTTACCTTCGGGAGTCAGTCATGACGTGCGTGGAAACTATCATAAATTATGTTGAATGAGCCAATTCATTGAAATACATTCATTTATATTTTAACAATATTAAGCCACAGTATCTTATGATTTGGCGATTTTATGATCGCTCGCTATTTGAGGAAATAACATATAGTGTACAATCTGAACTTCGTTTTGTTTAATTTCCCACAAGTGTCATAGTTCTTTGTACACCTGATGTATTTTGCTTTTTTCACAGATACACTTAATATTGGTGTCACAGACCATTTGTCATTTCATTGTAAAAGGAATTCATGTATTAGGGCGTAATCGAAGTTTGAATCATACGTGATGTGATATGCAATCGTGGAAATCTGGTACGAAATTGATATTATAATAATCACATTGTGCGTTACAGAACTACACTAAAAAACGCACATTAAACATATAACAGGTGTAACCAGTGAGCCAGATGCATTGTGAATCATTTTACGACCTCATCAAACAGGGGCAGTCTGTGACGTCTAAGTTAAGGTCATGCTGCCTACACCTCGCCATAAAATATAAAAATACGATGTTATTAAAGTTTAAAATTACATTCAAATGAAACAAAAAATTGGAATTCAGTGTAACCTTTGTTGTTTGTGATGTCTATTTTCACTTTCACACGAGAAAATTCGGATAGGCTAGAAAGTGGGTCATTGTCTGAATAGGTTAATGAGACTCATGTTTCAGTTTGGTATATTTTTATCATTGCATAGTCGTCATTTTCATAACCAGGATATATTAACATTATGGCGTAGGGAAGTACATGGCCACGAGATATTATCCTTTTTCAACAGTGAATTAGAAGTAAGTATAATCAAAATTATATCCATCACCAACCCAGTCATTCACTTTAACATGGCGCATATATGCAGTGCTGTGGATTTGCAAAATATAATGAGATTAGTAATGTGGTTATGGAACTGTCATTGGAATCGTTAAATAGTCTGACCACTTTTGTATTGATACATTGTCAGTTTTTCATCGGGATGTTTGTACAGTCAATCCTCACTATTATTGTTGTCATGCTCGTGTTCAGTTTGTAGTGACGGCTGGTTTGGTGAGGACTGTGACAAACAGTGTCACTGTTCACTAAACACAGAAGTATGTGACAAGTTCACTGGACAGTGTCTGAGTGGATGTGCTTCAGGATACAAAGGGACGGACTGCCAAAGCAGGTACATATTCTGAGTCAATCGAAAACGCAATGGAATTGTTTTGAAGCTATATAAATTGTTTTACATGAAGTAGGTTGAATGTACATAATAATTTCTCCCTTGGTTTTTTAGATGTGTACCATATTAATATGTATCATGGTGCGTAGTATTAAATATTGGCACTACCTTCTGGGGATAAACCTTCGATTTACAAATGCCTATATTTAAAATGTATCAGAATATTTTAAGCATATCATTACGAAGTTGTTCTACATCACCTACAGCCTGCCCATACGGTTACTACGGAGACTGCACCTCCAGATGTGGAAACTGCTTCAACGCTGCCCTGTGTGACAAGACTACAGGCATCTGTCCTGGAGGATGTGCAGCAGGGTGGCAAAGTGACAACTGTCTTCAACGTTAGTACATACATTTTCCTCAAATTGCAAATGTGTGGCTTCACTCATATTTTCAGGATACTTTCACAAGCATGAGTAAACTCCGCATATTGAAAATAAATAATTTCTAAAAGCAACGATTATGAATCACTATCAAATTGTGATCATCCGGGTGGTCATGAAATACTGTACATGTACCCTGCTCACTCAAAATAGGGAATTGCATCGGACATTATTTCATGACACTGATGCATCAATTTTGGAATTGTCCTCCATATGTCTCTATCATAAAACCTTTTGAATTAATCTTGAACATTGTATCCTGTATGATCCTGTATCCTTTTGAGTAAGAGCCGATGGAATCCCTTAGTAAGTTTTTAGATTACAACGTACACTTTATCAAGACATCAAAGCATGAGCGGTTAGAATATTGGACGAGATAAAGAATACTAACGCCATAGCAACGTTGCAGATTGAGCCCAGTGAACAGCTGGTTGAAAGAAGGACTGAAACGTAGCACCACGCGTGATAAACAGAACAAAGGTCACATTAATTATGAGTATGGCCACCCTAATAACGGCTTGGCATCTCCGCTCCATGCTCATGATGAGATTCACGATGTTCTTTAGTGGGAAATGGTTCTACTCTTGTCTGAGTGCATTTAAGGTCATCCAGAGTCTGTGGTTGATTCGGAAGCTCTGACAGCCGATGTTGTAGCTCATCCCACACATGTCAATGCGATTAAGATCCGGAGACAGAGTTGGCCACTCCATACGCTGAATTGCCTCCCTTTCCAGGTAGTCATTCACCACTCGGGCACGGTGTGGACGGGCATTATGGTCCATAACATCGAAATATGGCCCTACAGCTCCTGCAAAACATCCACAACTCGATGAAGGATCTCATCACGATAGCGGATAGCATTAAGGCTCCACGTCGTATGGCTACCATCTCAGTACGGCCCGCCAGAGAAATCCCACCCCAAATCATGACAGATCCACCGCCAAACCGATCGTGTTCAGGGACCAGATTCTGACAGTGACGCTGTCTGGCCTCTCACCACACTCGTCTATGGCCGTCATGAAAGTCCAGTCAGAACCACGACTCATCTGTGAAAAGTACTGGCTCCCAATGACGTCGATCCCAGTTCACGTGATGACGTGCAAACTCCAGACCTGCTTGTCGATGTTGTGAAGGTGTCTTGGCCTCGCTACTGGCCTGTAAGCCCCCAGGATGGCTTGGTGCAGTCTGTTTCTCACAGTCAGAAGCGTTATGTGCGACCCTGTTGCAGCACTGAACTGTCTAGCCAGTGTAGGAGCAGGTGCATTGTCTCCCGGCAAATGTAACGATGTAGCGGTCCTGGCGTTGTGTTGTGGACCGTGTTCTTCCACTCCTTGGCCTCTCATTGACTGCACCAGTTCCTTGAAACCGAGTCCACAGTCTGGAGATGACACATCGAATGCTGCAACAACATCCTGTTGTGTTTTTCTGCATTAAGCATTCCAACAGCCTGGTTGCGCTCATGGGCCTGTAGATGGCGTCTTAATGATGGCATTGTTTTGGAGAATGAAGTTCCATCAATTCGTCAATCTTCACAGTGGTGTACAGTTGTTGGACAGTGTCACACGTCTAAAGTTTGGGATCAGTGAAATTCACCATGTGTTGTTGGTGTGTCTCTCATGCACGTGCAAATAGTGAACAAGCATGCAACCTACCGTTTTCACTCGAGTTATTGTGTTTGTGATTCGTACCACTATGATATTTCACATCATGTCTTGATCAAGGGACAAAATCCATGGTCCCTAATTTTTTTTGTCCAGTATATATGATGTTGGTTGAACATAATCTCTTCCTGTTGTTTTACATATATGGACAGTATTAAATGTTGCTATTGCCTTCCGGAGATGAAACTAATATTTGAAAATATGAATGCCTACATCTAAACTGCTTCATACTATTTGAAACATGTTATGTAGTTTACAAACTTATTGGCTTACATCATGTACAGCGTGTGAGGACGGTTACTATGGAGACTGCACCTCAAAGTGTGGAAACTGCCGCAATGCTGCCTTTTGTGCCAAGACTACAGGCATCTGTCCTGGAGGTTGTGCAGCAGGGTGGCTAACTGACACCTGTCTTCAACGTGAGTAGATTTTCTGTGCTCAGGGTGCAATCACAGGGGCTTGTAACGCTAAATACTGCCATCAAGGTATATACTGTCACTGACAGGGTTTTAGTACTATATAAAAGGAAAGGGATGTAATGAGGTCAACACACCAAGTTCTTTTCAGGGCAAATTCAACAATGCTCACTGTGTGTATCCATTTAAAGTATGCACACATTTCAAGCCAATTGATGTACCTACAAAATGAGACATACAGAGCTAAAATCGAAGCAGTATTTTGGAAGCTAGGGTCTTCGGAAGCTCGAAACATCGTGATTTCTGGATTCCGAGCCAAAATCCCTGCTCACAATTTGTAGCGGTAAGCTCACCAATTTTCTTGTTTATTTCACAGTATATACAAACGACATTCACCAAAACATGTTGAACTGATGGCACCTGTCAGCGCGCTAGTCGCCATTCTTTCGGAGACACTTACATCTCACTGTCATAATGAGTTTACGTACATTTATTCACCGCAAACAGAATTGTGTCATGCCCATTCGCCATTGACGACCTTGGCCTTAACCTGACCCGCACTGATCAGCGATCTGATGGGACATATTTTATTTTTAGCCAATTTGCTCCCTTGCTTTTCTGAAGCGCTATCTCAAAAGGCGTACCGCTAAATATAGGATTGCCATTGAGCATATATGATGCGAGATGCGAGCCAAAACCCACACTCAAAACTTTAAACATTGTGACCCATAATAACTATCACTTAACCAAATGATATTACAAATTACAAAAGACACACTCTCATAACAAATCTCATTGAAATAGTCGAGTATGCATGATTTGAACCTCAGACGTTTGAAACACAGACACTAACGGCTGGAGATGCTTGAACATTGAAACCCAGTTGGCCTTTGGATAACCACCCCTCTTGTCCTTCAGTCTTGAGGAAAGTTATTACAGGTTTGGACACCTTGACCAAAGGTTCAACTTTTCCGACCTACTGATTCAATAGAGCTTGAGTGGACTAGTAATTTACATAAAGGATTGGTTTAATGTATGCCTGAAACGTCATGAGGGTACAAAGATGCATGCTGCCAACATCAGAATATTGTCCTTGTTTGTCATCATAATGAACGTAATATCCTTGTGTACAGCGTGTCTGGATGGATGGTATGGTATGAACTGTGCCTCCCAGTGTGGAAACTGCATTGATGGTCATGTGTGTAACAAGTCAACAGGCATGTGCCCTGGAGGATGTGCAGAAGGATGGATGACTGATACCTGTGTTCACCGTAAGTACAGATGCTTTACTATGCAGAATTATGCAGGTGATATTTGACCTCTTAATGCACGATTTTCCCTATGATATCTTTATGACTTATCTTTATGAAAAATGTTTGGTTTTTTGTAAATTAAATAATTGCAATCTTTAGTGTTTTTGTTTGTTAATTTCTACCTTTTGGACTTCTTTGGACTACAGCGTGTTTTGATATTTCTAAATACTGTTCCTAATTCTGTTTTGTCACCATTGAAATAAAGATGGTTATTAATACATTTGTTCATCGACGTTCTTTCAACTGTCATTGACTTCACTGGGAAACAATTTGTGTATATTCACAGCATGTCCGAATGGTTACTATGGTCCGAACTGTGGCTTCCAGTGTGGCAACTGTGTGGATGGGGATGTTTGCATCAAGACAAATGGAACATGTCCTGGAGGGTGTGCAGCGGGGTGGATCAATGACACGTGTCATCAAGGTAAGTCTTAGATGTGTAGTATATGACATTTACATTAATGAACTCATGAACATGAGTATATTTCATTATGATTCTGGTAACATATCAGTATTAGATCTTTCCCACCATACGGCTTTAGATTTCGGTATTGAAGACACTTCCGCAACCGCAGCGTTTTTAGTTAATAAGAGGAAAATTAATGAGGAACGTTTCCGTGTGCCTTAAATCATCTTGCATTGTGATTTCTGAAGTGAACTTCTTTTCGCAGCATGTCCAGATGGCTACTACGGTACTGACTGCATGTCCAAGTGTGGAAACTGTCTGGACAAAGATGTATGTAACAAGTCAAAGGGAACATGTCCCAACGGATGTGCAACAGGGTGGAGGAATGACACGTGTCATAACAGTAAATGGTTGATTTGGTTCCCATTCATGTCTCATCCATGTCTCATGTTACAATGCTTGCTCCTTACATTCAAACGATTGGTTATTTACAGTTCAGTCTTTACATATACATTAACTACAACGTGCTTTTCTCTGGCACAAACCGACTCACGTAAATGAGACTTGGTGATACCATACTGGTTATTTCAGTGTGCGAAGACGGGAGGCACGGCAGCGGTTGTACGTCAGCATGTGGTCACTGTAAGAGCGGCACAATATGTGACAAATCTAACGGGACCTGCGGGAGTGGATGTAATGGAGGGTATTCAGGTGCACGTTGTGAGCGTAAGTGTGTTCTTTGTCTGAACTTTTCAAGAGACATAGGTTTAGATGAACAGGGAATGCACCATTTCGAATAAGAACCATAATCACTGTCTGAAAACTGTTAACCCTAACTTTACGGTCGAAGGAATGCTATCGCAGGATGTCATTGTTTTGTACATCACTTACGGTCGCATACATGGCAATACTTTTCTAAATCTGCGTAGACCTGGTATGTGTAGATTTGTAAGCGTTAGTTATATACTGAACAAATTAGAAATGTTGAATCTGTTTACACAGAGTAACCCGTTTCTCGTCGATAACAAAACACGTTCAGATATTAAATATACAGTTATATCAACCAGTTGTATTGTGTTTACAAACTATGTTGTACAGAGTGTCCGGCAACTTCAGGATACTCAAACCAGGTAGTGCCAGTTGCAGCAACACTTGGGACACTTCTCGTCTTGGCTCTCATCGCTCTGCTGACATCTATCATTTACATTAGAAGGTAAGGGAAAAGATGTAATATTATGGACTTAAAAAGAGGATTCGTGGTACAGGGCAATAGTAATTGATTTAATGCTAATGATTCTGCATTGGAGACGCCCCTCCGTGTTTAGTTCTATAACCATTACTGGTACCTAATTTATTTTAGCCGTTTCACATTTCACACAGAACTCAACTGATTAAATTTACATCAGTGCTGGTAAGCTCGCTGGCTTTGTGTGCTGGCGATTACGTGCCTTACGCGGAGGGCGAGGGGTTTAATCCCGGATGATCCAAAACCCCCACACACCCCCACAGCCAAAGTTCTAGAATCAGTACTTTATTGATGCAGTGCAGCCCCAAATATAACATTGCTGCATTTGACCGCTCTATTAAATGCAATACACATAGATTTATATAATCAATTGGTTCACGTTCAGGAACATTCATGTGAAGTATTCTAGGCATGTATCACTTACTTCAAACTATAATGTATAGTTTGCGAAATTTGTAAAACACGTTTTATTCAACGGGTTGATTAGAATCACACAAACCTGCAGATCTTCTCAGATTGATATTACTGACAGTGATTTAAGTTTGATGCAGAATGACCCCGAGATATATACTCAGATATATATTCATAATACTATAAATTATATAAAAAAGAAAATAGAATCCCTGACTATGCAACTGGTGTTATTAAAACCATATCATATATGTTTAGAGATTTTGAATATAGAAGATAGGATTGACATGTAGAATTAGTGGCAATTGCTTTCCAACACTACTGGTACCTGAATCGCAATATATTGCAGTACAATATATTTGCCAATACACAGCCCTTATGTATATATATTAGACATCGAGAGATTAACATGTACAGAATTAGCTTGTGTAGATCAAGAATATTCCTGTATATTACAGACTGAAGAATCAACTGGGTGTCTTACAAAAGAAACAAGAAGATAACTACATATCTCTAGACGAGAGGACCAATGATCCAGTTGTGGAGAACACATATGAACAAATTAATAATTCCACTCCTTATGTCAATATGGGGGAAGATCATCAGGGCCGCATTTAAAGTAATCAAAAACAGTTTTGTAAAGCGACCTGTCTAGATCGACATTGCTATAGGTTCTTGTTACACGAGTATATGAACAGACATTTCTGAATGTGGAACCACGTGAGAATCTCACGTAAGGCTACTAATTACTAAACAACTCGAGCCACATATATTCTGTTGTTAAGAACTGTGATCATATTAGTTGCACGGTGTTTTGAAAGGATGTACGGGACTGTAAGACTCTTGTTACTTCCGTATTCCCCGAGGCACACCATGTGACGAATGTATTACCTTTAAGATCTTTTAATGTAGCTTATCTTTAAACAACAACACCAACCTTCGGCAGAATGAGACGCAAAACGTTTTGCTATGGTTTTTCCATAAAGGGGGATAACTCTGGATGGCTTAGTTTATAATATCAATGAACGAATTTGAGGTTTTGTTAAACGACAAGTGAAATACAGAAGCATTATATTTTTTGGATATATTAATTGACACACACTGGCAAATCCGCCTACATGGTTTCGAATGCTTTGGCTATTGACCAATCAGAATTCAACAAATTTATCTTAAGGAAAACAATAAGCAATATATGATCGGCACGATTACAGTTCTGTCGTCATGTCATGATTACTGTTCTGTCATTATGTCACGATTACTGTTCAGTCATCATGTCACGATTACCGTTCTGTCGTCATGTCACGATTACTGTTCTGTCATTATATCACGATAACTGTTCAGTCATCATGTCACTATAAATGTTCTGTCGTCATGTCACGATTACTGTTCTGTCATCATGTCACGATTACTGTTCTGTCCTTATGTCACGATAAATGTTCTGTCGTCATGTCACGATTACTGTTCTGTCATCATGTCAATATTACTGTTCAGTCATCATGTCACTAATACTGTTCTGTCGCCGTGTCACTATTACTGTTCTGTCATCATGTAATGATTACCGTACCACGTTTCTGTTGTCATGATGGTTTTCAATAACAAACGGCGCCATGTATCGTCCACCTCCACGCATGTAAGGTGAAGCGGATCCTTCTCCACTGCCTTGTTGTCCGTCTTGTAGTCTGTACCTCTGGCGACACTGACGTTGATGTCAGATTGGCGGTCTGGTTGGGAACGTTGCATGGAAGCAGTAGATGCATACACATCGTCGAACTATCCTCACAGTTACAGCTCTGTTGCTAGAGTGATGTCAGGAACTTGTGTCGACGATACGAAGCAGTGTCTTACGGAGGAGTTGTAACGGATTAGCAGACCCTATTGTGCTGGTATCTGTAGTGATTGTACACTTGATATCATCTTAATAAGTGCAACAGCGCAATAGTGGGGTCACTTTCTGATCCAGTAGTTCAATATGTCCCACAGAGTGACGTTTTCATTTCTGACATTGAACTGACGTACAACGTTACACTGCGAGGCACTGAATTCCAATACTCTGTGACTCGCCATCTGCCATTTTCTTGTATGTGTAACCCGGTGCCATCCAACCAAAACTACAAAACATGTATTAGACTACAGTACATTACTTTTCGTAGATATTCTCTGTAATGTTTCTCTTTGAATGATTAGCTGCTGTTCAAACGTTTGCTTGTAGCCTGAAGGTATAAGTTTGATCTCGGCATGGATGCATTATGTGAGGCCAAGTCTTGGTGTTCCTCGATGTGACATAAGGGTTGAAAACTGTACCAAGCCATGCTACTGTTAATATGATCACTGAAATACTACATATAATTATACATAATAGTGTATGACCTTTTAGTAGATATTATTTGAAACATTTCTCCCTGAATACTTCTGGTGGTTGAAGCTGTCACCCTGAACATGATTTCCAGCATGGAGAGAAGTCAGTGTCTGGTCTCCTTCTCGATATGAAATTTTGTTTGAAAATTGCATAAAGCCATGTACCCATAACAATGTTCCAGCACCTAAATATCCATAAATCGTGTTAAAATATATACGAGAAAACCAATATCAAGCATCACGCTCCTACAGTTTTCGAACGTTCAAATATGCATATACATGTGCGTACTTGTGGCACTGACATTTTTATTAATGCCAAAGTTACCTCCGAGAGGTGCTATATTAGAACAAAACCGTAACAAGGTCACATGCACTACGTTACATCATAATACATCACGATACATACATATCTGTACTGTCCCTTGTTGTATTACCCTTTCCTGATCCTTGGCATCTTGTCATAAAATCACACACATGTATTTGTAAGTGCGCCTGTTTATTTTTGTAATATAAATCCATTAACCCACTCAACACGCTGTTTTTACCATGGTATGTCATGCTGGTCACTGACCATGATCACAATAAGCGTAGTATAGATGTTGGATCCATATACTCATTTAATGTTTCATTATCATTGTATCTCTCATCAATTTATTATTTGAAATAAATGTAATTTGACAGTGGTTATGAATTTATATTATTGTGTATGTTTCAGTTTCAGTTATGTTTTTATTTACAGCTAGTGGGTCGTCTGTGGTGTTAGGGATGTTGGCAAAAGTGTCGATACCACCTTTAACATAGCCGTACATGTTGCTGAAAGGCGCACATATTCTGTAATGTCTTGAACTGGACAACAATTACAAGTTACATATGTCAGATACCCTCATGCATGGAGCAGTGGGGTAGCCTAGTGGTTAAAGCTTCTGCTTGCCATCGCTGAAGACCCGGATTCGATTCCCACATAGGCGTGAAATCCATTTCTGGTGAAGCCCGCAGGGATATTGCTGGAATATTGCTAAAAGTGACGTAACACCATACTCACTCACTAACTCTGGCCTGCAAACCAGTTACCGTTGAACATCGGTTAACATATCGAGTCGGTGGGGTAGCCTAATGGTTAAAGCGGCCGCTCGTCAAGCTGTAGACCCGGGTTTGATTCCCCACAAGAGTAAAGTATATGAAGCCCATTTCTGGTGTCCCCCCACCGTGATATTGCTGGAATATTGCTAAAGGTGGCGTAAAAACCACACTTACTGACTCTTTAACATATCTGTATCTACCAGAATACATACGTGCACAGAAATAATAATCTGAATTACATCTTGTCATTTGCACATAAACTAATGTGTTAGTGTACAACGAATAAAACAACATAACTGTCAAAGATTGTGTCTTTATTCTGTTACTTGACACCTCACATCGGTTCAATTACTCGAACTCGTTCACTTTTCTCTCAAAGTCATCCTCATGGTTATACTCTCTCGGTGGAAATGTCACAATACGACAGCGAATGTAGCTGGATGGGTTTCACGCCCGGCAAGCTGAGATGAAAACATTCAAGCGGAAGATCTGTACATTGCTTTAACCACATTGACGTTGAACGTACGAATAAAAATACATGACAGTAGTTGTGCGATTCCCGCACCAGGTGTTTCCTATCAAGCCATGTTATCTGATGTAAACATTAATACATACAAGATTCCTTTGTCGACTACAGCACTGTCATTCATTGTCCCGCGCTTTTAAAACATTGACGTGGAACTTACGAATGCAAACACGTTGCAGTAGCAAAGCGAACGTCACAATGATTCAGATAATAATAGTAATAATAATATGGATTCTCCACACCAAAGCGCGACTCGAGGCGCTGACACACAATCTGACTATTACCCCTGATAACCCAAGCTGCCCATGAGGCGCTAGAAGGTTAATAGTCACATGACTTATCCCACAGGGTACCAGGTTTTCTTTGCTGGGTGAAGACCACATTCATCACATGTACTTCGTTGTGGGGCAGCACTAAAGTCCTAGAAAATCTAAGGAGTCAAGCGACCAAACACGGTCACCAATCCAAGTACTCTCCGCGCCAAACGTTGCTTAACTTCAACTGATTTGTTACCTGAGCTCTACGCACAGGACCACATGCCATCACCATGTTACGAGTCCTGTTATTTAATGTAAACGTGAGGCGTACAGCAGTTTTCTACATGATATAAGCGAGTTAGTCACCATGTTTGGATGAAGTCTGTTCATGTGATTTAAAGAAGAGGACAGGTTTACCACCCTGATGATGATGATCTGTGGTCAGTACCATACATGGGCGCGGGTCTCGTTTTAGGTACCAGCATCAATGAAAGATTGGATACTTATCGTGCATTAGCAGGGAAATGCGGCAGCTGAAAGATGAAGGGTATGAGAATAGAAGTGTGCGTGCGTGTGTGTGTGATTGTGTGTGTGCGCGCAAACTCATTGTTATGAGAAATACAAGCTTGATGAGGCACATACATGACAAATCGCATACTGTGTGAGTCACTAGACAATCTCAAACCCATGAGAATATCACAGCATGTGTATTTGGGCATAACCATGATCTCAAGTTCAAAATAACTATATGTTGTGTTCAAAAGAGCACAACTACGTCATTGTCACCTCAAAGATAACATTAAACTGTGTACAAGGTATCCCGCAAACCAGGATGTAATATCAACTTTAACGAAATGTCAAAAGATTCCCATGCTACCTGGCATGGGGAACGTGTGGTCTCCTCTCTACAACTTTCTTCCTGGTTGTGTGTCGCTGTATTTTTCCTGCATGAACACGGGTGAGTATCCGTGATTTCTTACATTACATTTGCAATACATTCTTGATGTTAGTTGTATCCGTTTATGATAATCATATAGGATAGATACAGTTATTTATGAAAAGAAGATGTACGACGGTGCTAAAATCGCTCAGCTTAATCTATTAATCTATTTGGGGTGCTGTATGTTAAGAAAGCGACTGTGACATATTGATCCGAGTGTATTTCAGGGTGCATTGCAAGACGAACTGTCCTGATATGGAAAGGTATTTGTGGCTACCTGTGTCGTTCATGGTACTATAATATATGCCTCTACCTTTCTCGTAATGTACATGGACACATGTGTACACATTTAGTTGCTCATTGCTTTGAACGTATGAACAGATCAGTGTGTCGATAGCTAATGAGAGTATCCCATCTTAAATGGTACATTGTTATCAGATTCATTGGAGGCAAGAAATCACTGGTCTGAACTTCTCAAATTGTCAAAGTAACATCCTATTAACTCTTGTCTAGCAAGCTAACATAACGGTTATGATCGGGTGTCAATGTTGGCGGAACTTGATACTGTTTACTTGTGAGACAGTACAATAAGTGCATATTCCCAGATCGATACTGTTTGCATTTCGAGTGTCATTAAAACGTGAACGTGTTTTGTGTTTCATTTTTTACCCACGTCAATGAA